CGTAGTTCTTGACGGGCTTTCCGCCGTCACTGCTGGGTGGTTTCCATGACAACGTCACTGAGCTGTCAGTCAGGTCGGAGAACTCGATGGGGCCCAGAGGTTTTCCAGGTTTGTCTGGGTAAGGTTAAAGAACACAATATAATCACGCAACAAGTAATACAAAAAAAGAGTAATATATTTGCTTCTGTCTTCGACACCGCAAGGTAAGAGAGAATGGAAACAGTAACAGGAAAGCGAATACGCCGTAGACAACTATCGTACGTTATGTGGTCCCTTTTAAGGACAAGCGGGATAACACAGATTTCCGGGGTTTTCAGGAATCTTGACCAACACCAAAAGTTGGCATTGCCCTACGTATAGAAGAAGTTTAGTTTTATTGGTGTGTATATTTGTTTAGTTCTAGAGAAAACTCTCCTTGTCTTTTAAAGAAAACAGAACAAGGGACAAAAACTTTACCTTCGATTTTCTCAAAACAGCTTTTTTTCGGGACAGCCCTTGTGCTTAAAAGTGACCATGTTGCATAAGGTATCCCCAGCACTCATCCCTACATTATGTTGTACTAGGCACCAAAAATGAAAGTATCTCGTACGTTACTGTGTCCTAGATCTAGTTACCGCCAGAACTCACCGAATTTGCTCTTGGGCGCGATAGTTGCGTCTGTGACCAGAGGCTCACTGGCGCCATGTTTGTTTTCCGCCGACACCCGGAACAGGTACTCAGCGCCCTCTAGGAGGTTGGGGACGGTGAGTGACGTCACGTTAGGCTTGACCTGGTCCACGCGGGTCCAGGTGGGTCTCTTAGCTTCCTTCTTCTCGATGACGTAACCGGTGAGAGGGGAGCCGCCGTCGCTGGTGGGTGGCTGCCACTCCAAGGTTACTGACGTCTTCTCAATGTCCTTTACCTTGAGGGGTCCTTCGGGTGAGCCTGGTTTACCTGTAGATAGCAGTAAAAACACAAGTGTTGATGTTACCCCTTTATAAAAACATTTCACTTATATAGCTATAGGAAAAAATTCCCAGAAACAAGTCAGTTCTAAAAAACCCCCAATCAACCAAAAACCACAAACACAAAAAACACGCACACAGTAATATATATAAAGGATGTGTATTATTTTCTACACCAATGTCAGTTTTGGGAACCAGTTCGCCAAAAGCATAATGAAAAACAATCGCTTATGACTTGTTTTATGCAGCGATTGTGCTCTTAATAAATGATATACCATAAAAGCTCATCACTTTATGTATATCACACGTATGATACTCTCTGGTTACATCCCTAATGTTCGACACTTATATGATATATTTGTGTTGCAAGTGCAGTGGAATCTTACTTCAACTAAACTGAATCTTGGTGTAGAGTTAGTTGTCATACCTTCTGGTTGTGGGTGGTCGGCGGGTGCTCTGGTGCGGCTTGCTTCTTATTTTCTATCAAACATCTATCTTCCTTATGTCCCCTCCTTCTTTTTGTGTTTGTTTCTCTCTTGTAGCACCTCTAATCTTCGGCACTTATATGACCTTATTGTGTTGCAAGTGCCGTAAAGTTCTTCCGTCCTATAAAAAAACTGTCGTCCTTTTCTCTCCTCGTCCTTTTTATGTTTGTTACTCTCTTGTAACACCTCTAATCTTCGACAGTTATATGACCTTATTGAGTTGCAAGTGGCGTAAAACTCTTACTAAAACTAAACTTACCCTCTGGTTTCTTGGGCTTGACCCCCTTGTCAGTCTCCAGTGGCTCGCCGAAGCCGGCCTCATTCTTGGCCGACACAGCAAACACATAGGCCACGTCAGGGGTCAGTCCTGAGACCTTGAAGGTCGATTCGTAACTGTCCACCTCGGCGACCTTGACCCAGTTCTCGCCGTCCTCCTCGCATTTCTCGATCTTGTAACCGGTGATCTTCGAGCCACCGTTGGAGGTGGGCGGTTTCCATTCCAGGCCGATGAAGTCTGTGCCTACCTTTGTGGTCTTGAGGCTAGCTGGAGGTCCAGGGGGTTCTGAGGGTGGGGTGATGTGGAGGGGAGGGGGGGGGGAGAAATAGACATCAGTTTAATTAAAAAACAAACGCATAACTGAAAACACAATTACTGTGGCTTCTGGTCATAACTGTTGTTGAAAGAAGAATCAAACTAGCTGGAACGATCGGATTTAAACAAAAATTGTGTCTGATGACCAGTTTTTAGATGTGGTCAACCTAGGCCTTGATTTTATTCACCTACGGCTGACTGAAATATTGAGCTTGTAAAATGTATATGTAGGCGTTTTTACGTCACCATACACACAATTTGGATAATTTAGTCGGCACGAACTGGGGCAGAGAGGGATACTACATCCCAGAAGAAAGACCGAGACACTCGGTAAACGTTTCTCCCTCGCTTTTTGAGAATCGAACTCAACAACTAGACCACAGACACCAGCTGATTACTGAGTGACTGAGGGACATACGCGTACAACATACGCCACTTACCAATCTTCTTAGTGGGCTTCACAGTGTCCTTGGCCTCAAGGGCGGGACCTTGACCTTCCTGGTTCACTGCAGCGACCCGGAAGTGGTACTCTGTTCCTTCCCTCAGGTCCTCAGCGGTGAAGGTCGTTGTGTCGCCCTTGACCTTTCCGATGGGCGACCAGGTGGAGCGGGCTGAGGGGCGGGACTCGATGACGTAAGACGTGATTGGCGTGCCGCCATCGCTCTCCGGTGGTTGCCATGACAACACAACCGATTTGTCGGTGATGTCACTGAGCTCGAGTGGGCCGATAGGTCGGGTGGGTTTTTCTGCAGGAGTTCAGAAACAGTCCACATTGTAACGTCAAGTTGGTAAAATACACTTGGAAAGTAATGTCTACCGCGAAAGGTAAAATGATTTGCCTGTCTGTGTGTCTGTCTGTCTGTCTGTCTGTCTGTCTGTCTGTCTGTCTGTTTGTTTGTCTGTTTGCCTGTCTGTCTGTCTGT